AGTATTCAATGTGTATACTTATCATAATCAATCGTATTCAGTCTCTGTATTCGGCAAAGGTACTGTAAACAGGCATAAAAGAGTTTTTTAAAACTTTCTTTATTAAATCTTTCATTTCTTGATGGATTAGTTCAACAAACATCCATAGAAACTTTAATTTCATGTAAATTACCTCCCCAAGGTCCAGATCTCATGTGAATCAGAAATTACTTAAGTACAACTCATGTCATTCCAAGAGGGTCTCCTGATAAGTAACCAACTTTTCCTAGCTGTCTCTCAAGTTCAGTTTTTGCCGTAAAGCAAGAGAGGTGCTTTAAGACAATCAGTTGGCGAAAAATTCTCGCGTACTTTTCCTTTCTTTCCGCCAGCGGGAGAGCTCTGCGATTGAAGCAGGATATGTGGATAGTTTCGCTTCTCAACGGATTTGTTCAGACATGTAGCTAAGATTGAAGAATTCGTACTTCATTGTCCAAAAATCCTTTGCAAAGTTTGGTCGAAGTTCCACTTTGGTGTCGTTAAGTTGCTAACTATTTCCTGAGTTTGTTGTGATACCTAGTCCAAATTCCTCTTTTTCATCAAAAGATTTTCAAAAATATGGTTCAAAATCTAGTGTGTTTTTCCTGAAGCCGCAGAATTGATAGGAATAAGCCATGTTCATATGCAAATCATAGTTTACCTCCATAAAAGCTCTTTTTGATTACATCACACTTGTCTGAAACCAGAAATCAGTTTTTCCACCTAATATCATAATATTAATTACTTTGAATTACCTTGGTCACTGTTAATGAAATTATGACAAATTTCTACCACTCGAACATATGAAACCCTTGAGCAAAAAAATGAGGTTCATTTTTGTAGATGCTTTTTATTTTTGAAACTAGCTTTTTTTAGAAATATCAATACTATCTGGATAGACTCACACCACAAACGGCTGTTCGATGGGTGATCGCTGTGATAGCAATCTTGACTTTTTGTGCTAGAATCCTCTACCTCCAAGTACGTATGTTTTTCACTTGTGTTGAAGAGATGATATATCTGTGCTTTAGGGCTTTTATATTGTTGCGTATGCTGTTGGGATTTACTACCTAAATCTCCTTCTTCTCTTCCTCACTCCATCAATTGATCCTGCTCTTGAAGATGATGATGATGGACCTGTGCTCCCTTCAAAGACTAACGACGAGTTTCGCCCTTTCATGCGTCGACTGCCGGAATTTAAATGCTGGTGCGATTTTTCTCCGAGATCTTCATTTCTGGAAAAATTTCTCATTGTAAAATCATAATTAAAAAAAAGTACAAGGACTTTCATCTTTTCAAATATTTCCATAAGTCAGGTTGAAAACGTTGCGAAAACTTATTTGTAGTTGAAGAATAGCATGCATTATGTCGGATTATGCAGAGATCGTTGCAATTTTCAAGCGGGAGAGATACTAATATATGTTTTCCGTTTCACGCTCTTGTCCAAAAGACGAAGTGCTGCTATCATCCGCAACACAACTGCTCTTTGTATTAGTTGTGGAAGATCCTTTCAAAGTGAAGGAAAACCGAATTCAGATAAAGATGTATGATGAATAAGGGTTTGATTTTGTTAACCAATGGCGCACCCATTGCAAGTCGGTATGTGAACTAGTAAATAAAACAAGTCAGATCGACTAACCATTGATTCTGCACTCGTAATGGAGGACTGGTGTAGTAATTGTAAAAAAGCAAATTTTCGTGTTTTCATGAGTTATCTTGTCTGATAAAGAGGTCCATCAACATCAAGTAGCTACGAGCTACAATTACCCTACTTTACAAAACTATAAATTACGCGCCATGTTTT